GCACAATTTATCATACGAGAAGACTTTCTTGGAGATTCACTTTGCAGAGATGTGAGATCAGCACAGCTTCTCCAGACAATTTAACTCACAGTCTAGAGAAGAATTAAAGAAAATTAGAACCTTCTCACTATGGTATCTGCTTCCTTTGGTCAATGTGGCCTCCATTTCCAGGCTTTTATAAAAAGCTCTGAACGCCTGAAAAGTCTGTACTCTATTTTCACAAAATTGCAATTTCTTTAAAAGTTGTTCAATTGTTCCGACACTTTAAAAAGAAAAAGAAGTGTATATTGTCAATGCATACACAGATAATAATATCAAAAATTAACTTCCTGTGAAAAAAAGAGTTAATATAGAAAGTATTTGCCTTTTTTCCATGCCTGTAATCAGACCTCAGCACAACACAGACTGACTATTATGACACGATTGTGGTAAACCAATCCCAAGATTTGTGCTGCTCTCTCTAAGAGGGAGTGGTTCTCTGCATGCTTTTATTTTTAAGAAGTCTGCGACATTATCAGTTGCCAAACAGATTTTTAGAGGGAGAATCAAGAGGAGGAGTCCCAGGGAGTCAGAAGGGATGGCATCCACAGGGAGCACCGCTAAAGCCTGGATCCTGGTTACTGATGGATACGAGAGGAGGAGGAGGGCACAACTCCCTCTCCCAGAGCTGGCTGCGTTCCCAGCTCCCAGACCCAAGCTTTTCCCACTCCAGGCTCTGCTGCTGCTTTCCAGAGGCGAGGGATCCAGCCTTATTTATGCTCACGTTGCTCCAGCTGTTCCTTTGCACAAGCTGCAGAGGGGATTTCAGAGAATCACAAAATTATCTAGGTTGGAAGAGACCTTGGAGATTATCTAGCCACGTTGCTCCAGCTGTTCCTTTGCACAAGCCTCAGAGGGGATTTCAGAGAATCACAGAATTGTCTAGGTTGGAAGAGACCTTGGAGATTATCTAGCCCAACTATCAACCTAACTCTGATAAAAACCATCACTAAATCATGTCTCTAAGCACTATGTCAACCCGGCTTTTAAATACCTCCAGGGATCGTGCCTCAACCCCTTCCCTGGGCAGCCCATTTGTTTGGAGTTCAGACTTATTTCCAAAATAAGTTCATCACCAAGTGACAGTTGCACCAGGAAAAAAAAAAAAAAGCCACCCAAACCTCAGAGGTGTTTTCAGTTCTTTTTCCTGAGCTGGGGTGGGACGTGAGCCCTGCATCCCACAGGCTCAAGGGTTTTGGCTGCCTTTGGGCACAGTTGGACTATGGTGGTCCCCAGCAATGGACCTGGTCGTCCAGCAGCACAGAGGAAGCTGGTGGCCCAAAGCAGTGCTCACCACTCACTCAGCACACCAGCAGGAACCAGCAAAACACAATCTGGGAGCAGGAGGGTCAGGTCTTTGCCACCTCCTGTCCTCATCTAACACACTGCCACGAGGATTAGCGTCACTTCCATAAACCACATTTTCAGGTGACAGGCAGGAACGGAAGCCTCAGCTCATCAGCACCCTTTTTGTCCCAGCTCTCCATCACAAATCGTAAAATTCTGGTGGAAAAAGATTTTCCTTCACCTCTCAAACTTTCAAGGAACTGAAATAGAGACAGTTTGGTAGGGAGCAAAAGGCAGGACCCCCCTGCAGAGTCCAGATGTGATTGCATCAGGGCTGGAAACACGCAGTGAATAAATGGTGGATTGTGGGCACGGAGGAGCACTCTGTGCCTCTGTCCCACCACCTGAGCACCCTCTTCAGCGAGGAAAAACAAAAGACAAGGAGGATTATTACTGATCAAGATGCCAGAAAACGCACAGCAACATCCTCTGCTCCTGCCATAGAAGCTGAACCTCATTTACTCTTGGTGTTTTGTCTAATTGCCTGACCTGTGATGACAGAGCCATCACATCAAAGCAAAACCTTTTGTGGGGACCAAGACCCAATACACACATACCCTAGCCTACCCGCTTTCCTTTTGCCCAGAGCTTCCACCACAGCAGAAGAACTTTCAGCAAGAAAGAAGGAAAAAAAAAAAAGAGAAAAAGAAAAAGGCAACTGTAAAAAATCAATTTTTAGAAAGAATGTAGCATGATGCCATTTTCCTTATACGGCAACTGGTATCCCATGTGGAGTCTCAAACAATAGCCAGCCTGGCAGGAGGGGGGAGTAAGAAGACGACTTGGGGGGAAAAAAATTATATATATATATATTCCCTGCTGGCCCTCACCCTCCATTTCCTCTTGGATTTCTTTGTGACTGCACTGAAAGGGGTCAATAGCTCCCAGCTTGAGAAATGCAGCTTTTGAAAGGACTATCACCAGCATCTGTATTTAAAGCATGGCTTTTACTTCACAGCTTTCCCTCCCCCCCCCCCAGCTCCAGCTAATGCAGAGCTTTTAAAAAGCGAGCAGCAAGATAAACTTTGAGGGAAAGCAAAAAGGAAGAGGAGAGGAGAAACGGTACCTTTCCGTGCCTTGGGTTTACTGACACTGTCACTGGAATAAAAGCTTGACTGGCAAAAGCAGGGACAGGGAACATAAGCTGCAGATGATCTGAAGCGCTACGGATCATTACACTTTGCTTCGGTCCCCACCTCCCCCAGCCTTCAAATTGAGCTACAAAACCCCACGAAACAGCCAAGCATCAAGCTGGAAAAGAATTTCCACTGATTAAAAACAATGGGCGAATCAGCCCCGGACTCAGCGAACGCATCCCAGCTCTGCAACTCAATCGTTAGCGTTTAAAAATTCTGAACTGACAAAGACAGGCAATCTAGTCATATTGTAATAGGTTTAATTAACTTATCTTGATAAAGAAACACTGGAACAGTGGCTGTGTTTATATTTTGGCTTTCTACGTGAGGAAATACTCTAGAAAAGCTATGGCTTTTCTCTAGAAACTCTAGAAAATACTCTAGAAAAGCTCTAAGGTGAGCCAGGGATTTACTGGGAGGGAGGAGGAACAGGACTGTAACCTTCTCCCTTGGTGCCAGGAGACACAGCTTTTTGGGACCCCTGGCTCCACCTCACGTTGCAGCCCCATTCATACATCCAACAGCAATTACGTCGCAGTCACTTTCTGTATTAGGATGAGCTTTTTAATTCACTTGGGAAGCGGACGAATCCAAGTGACGGCACAAAGAGTTTGCACAGATCAACTGTCGCTGTAGTCTCCAGGTGTAAACATGTCAGAACCCCATCCATCTGCTTTAGAAACTGAGTAACAGTTCTCACCACTAAATTCCAACTTTGAGGAGCAAAATGGGTGAAGAGTCACAGAAGGAAGGTCTATCTTGTGTCAAGACAGACTAGATAAGAATAGCTGTGATTCTGCAGCTCCAATTTGACTTTATATTCATCTGGTTATTTGACCGCAGCCTTTCAGTAAACATAGAAACAGAATGGTTTGGGTTGGAAGGGACCTTAAAGATCATCCAGTTCCAACCCCCTGCCCTGGGCAGGAACACCTCCCACCAGACCAGGTGGCTCCAAGCCCCATCCAGCCTGGCCTTGAACCCCTCCAGGGATGGGGCAGCCACAGCTTCTCTGGGCAACCTGGGCCAGGCTCTCACCACCCTCACAGCAAAGAATTGCTTCCTGAGATCTCACCTAATCTCCCCTCATTCAGTTTAAAACCATTCCCCCTTGTCTTATTGCTCTTCTCCCTGATCCAGAGTCCCTCCCCATCTCTCCTGGAGCCCCTTGAGGGACTGGAAGGGGCTCTAAGGTCTCCCCGGAGCCTTCTCTTCTCCAGGCTGAACCCCCCAGCTCTTTCAGCCTGTCCTCACAGCAGAAGACAGGCTTCGTAACATCAGCAGAAGCTCAAGAGAGGCCTGAAATGCACGGATGGAAAAGGGCAGTAGTTCTTGGAGCAGGACCACACACAGCAGAAAGCCATTTTTCATACAGTCCCTACCAACTCGTCCGAGAGAGGAGTCAAAAACGAGGTCAGAGAACACTCCAGAAACCGAGAAGCACAAGCAGCGTATGACTTTGCATTTCACTTCAGGTTCCCATCACACTGCCTTTCTCACAGGCATTCAAATACATTAGTCTGTGCCTTATCAGATCCCGAATTACTGCTGTAGAGAAAAGCTCCTGTGGAGTCTGAGAACTCCTGTTCAGAGACGTTTATAGGGCTGTAATGAGTACCCACAGATAAGCCCTACCTGCCTGCGACCCACGTCTGCTTTAACACAACACAGCCCTAAGCCTTCAATAATACAGCCTGGAAAACAGAATCCCGCCACCGCCTACTACTAATTACATCTGCAGCGGTCAGGGATGGCAAGAGAAGTAAAGCAGATTAATTCTATTAAGACTGTGGAATAGCATCCCAAGGGGGACAAGGGGAAAATCCCAGCGTTTAAAGCAGGACTGGCAGACGCTGCTGGGAACGATGTTACACACTAGTAGGGGATTAAGGGTTTGGACTAAAGGGCCTCATCTCTTCTAGATCTGGTTTCCATGAGTCACTGCAATTAGAACTGCAGGGCTCTTCTGTCTGTTTGGTTTTGGGTTTACTTTCGGGTGACCTGAAACATCTTGTCTAGTTGAAAATTAAATGATTTCATTAATTTCTTACTTAACCCCTCCGCCCTCCCCCTCTCCCCCCTTCTTTCTTCCTTTTCTTAAAAACCTTTCTGTTTTAATAAAGGTAGCTTTCAATATAAAATTATTTTAGAACAAGAAGTCAAAGTATTGCTCTATTAATACCTTATATGTAACATTTTTTCTTTTTTCAGCATATTCCTCCCACACTTTCAGCCTACGTTTATCTCAACTATACGAGCAGTCTTGATCCTCTGAAAGTACATTTTTGCTGAAAAACCATTCCCCACGCTGTGAACACGATGTAAGGATTCACCCCCAGAGATACGGCAGGCAGAGGTGACCATGCCCCTCTTGAGCCAAAGGAATGGCAAAAAAACCCCTCTGCTGAGTGTCCTCCACGGAGAGGCCAGAGCCCAGCAGCAGCAGAACCTCAGCATCAGGAGGGCTGTTGGCCTTACCTGCGTCCTGCTTTGAGGGGACAGGCCTTTGGAGAAATCCTCCTTCTCCTCAAGAAGTCAGGTCGTACTTGGCGTGCATCAAGTCAGGGTCCTTGCTTTGGGTCCCCAGCGCCGGGATCCAGGCTGGACAACCTGTCACAAACAGCAGTGAGAAACATGTGAGACACACACCTCCATACTCTGTGACCTTTACTAACTTCTTCCCACTCAGGTAAAGATTTAAAATTAAAGATTTCGATTCTTCCCATTTAGGTAAGGTTCCCTTTCTTGCACAGCTGAAGAAGGTGAGGGAGAAACATCTGGCAGAGACCCCAATGTCTCTGGCAAGGTGTGGACTGAAGGCAAGATTTCCTCCTTACTTTCCAGTCCAGAAAAAGGTTTTGACCAGGAAGCAGGAGGACGAACAGGACTATTTCCAGAAGAATAAGAGAGGAGAAACAGAGTTAGAATCATAGAATCATCTGGGTTGGAAGGGACCTTCAAGGTCATCTAGTCCGACCCCCAAGAGTTGCTCTGCTTCTTCCCCTCCTGCTCCTCTGTGAGCCTCTGGGGAAACGGGGGAGGACTGGAACACCAGGAGAAGATGTTGTGAGTCCCCCAAAGGCAAGTCCTAGAACAGAGGATGGAGTAGTGGGTGAAAAAACAAGTTCAGACATGCATACATGTAGTGCATGTAGCAAACACGCACACGCATCTTTCACTTACTGGAGAGGTGTTAGAGCACAACTATGTGCTGAATGGAAGGAGCCAGAAAAGATTGAGGATGACAAAGGACGAGGTGATGGAGCCCAGAGACAGGTAAGGGTGGGATGAAGATACTATCAGAGAGCCAGGAGATGGGGAAAGCAATAAGCAAGCGAAATCAGAGCCTGGAGAAAGGCAGGAAAGATGGGTGGGAGAAGAAGAGAGATCGTGCCAGCTCTTGTCAGCAGGAGTCAGCCAGACCCTGCTGAGAGGTGGAGAGGTGGAGCAATTGCTCTGTGAGGGCTTCTCTCTGGAGAACAGCACCGAGTCTGGATCTCGTTCTCCCTGACAGCTCCGATTCAGATATGAAGCTGGCGCCACACAAATCCATTTCACAGCATTACTTCTCTCCTTCCCGGTCTACCTTCCCGCTTTGCTCTCCTCTGAAGCCAAAACCTCTGGCCCAGCCCCTCCAGCATCCCAAAGCCAAGGCCAACTGCCCACACGCAGCACCCGGGAGCATCAGTGCCCCCCCCCTAGATCACAGCACTCCTCCAGGACCAAGGTGACACAGTGGGAGAGAAGGTCCTTCCACAGCAGCTCCACCTGGCAGTAAGACACCGAGATGGGGCTGCAGCTGGACATCTCAAGCTCACCTTCTCTGTCATGCTTTCTGGAGAAGACAGCCACACTGAGCTAAACCAGCATTTACTTATCAATCCAGTAGATTAAAAAGCCACTAAGGAGCCAGCTGGGAAGTGTTAATGTCACACCACAGCCTGTGGAAGGAAATTCCTGCCATGTGGGTGGCTATCAGCCCCCCGCTCCCATCCATGGAAGCACTATTTCTCACCTCCTCCAGAAGGGAGAAGGCTTGGTGGGACACAGAGCACTGCACGCTGTGTCCAGCCCAAAACACCCTCCGAGGAGCCCTCTGCACCCTGGTTGTTCATCTTACAGGCCCTAGAGGAGCAGCATGGTCCAGTGAGCAGAGCAGGGGACCACCAAACAGGTACCCAGGCAGATGTCCTTGCTCATGTCTCTGGTGGACCTGCACACCTTCAGCTCAGCTTCCTCCTCCTCCTGTGGGTGTTTGTTCACAAGCCTCTTCCCTGCACAACCTGGAACTTCAAATACATCCATCACATCCCAGTTGCTTTAAAGGGGAAGTATTTGAGGGGTGTCAGTGTTCACATGTAGAAAATACCTATGTCCATACACTTCTGCAGAGGACAAAGTGGCTGCTGCCCAACAGAAACCTAGTCCTAGTCCCTTCAGACGTGCAGCATTGGATAGCAACTGCCAGCTTTTGGAGACAGGGAGAAAAAAAAATTAATATTAATTTATTCCAGTTTTTAAAGTGCCCTGAAACCACAAGGCACTTTCGATGTGTACTGAGACACATCAAAAATTTGATTCCATAGCATTTTTAGTACCAATTTTCCCCTTCCATTATGGAAAAACACTATTGTCCATACAGGCAAAACCCATTCATTCCTCATTACTATTCCAGCTGAGGCAGCGCTGCGATCAGAAGCGGAGTGCTCTAATATATTTAGGGTCACTAATATTGTATTTTTGCCTTCTGCGCGTACTTGCTCAGATGAGAGATTTCAATCACCTCTATTCAAGGAACATTAAGAAACAGGAGATATCTCAGGTCATCTAAATCCTCCTCTCCGGTGGAAGATTGTGCCTCTCCCTCCTCCCCTGCTTTGTTTATATCTAATCCAATTCAGAGTGTCTCGAGCAGCAGGAATATTCTCCTTTCTCTCAACAGAGCTCAGAAAACCCTGATAGAAAGCTGCCTTCGAGACCTGTGGCCTCCATAAATAGTCTCATTTTTTTAAAAAAACATGAGATTCCTTTATATCTGGCTAGATCAAAAGCAATAGCAGGTGGAAAACGTGACTTAAGGACAATAAAACCCAGGCACCTTCTCCAAGGCTGGTGGAGAGGGACAGCAGCACCACAAGAGCCAGCAGACTGTGGGTCACCTGAGCTCAACACACTTTCAACATGAAAACAAAAAGAAAGAAAAGCTTAATGTCGAATTTCTCCTGGTCACTTCACATTGTCTCTCATCACTGCGAGCTCCAGAGACCAGACACTGGGTTAGAGAAGATCTGACCCAGCCCAGCAGCTCACAGGTGCCCCTTCCACAGGATCACAGAATGCTATGGAGTTGGAAGGGACCTCTGGAGATCATCCAGTCCAACCCCCTGCCAGAGCAGGGCCACCCACAGCAGGTCCCACAGGAACGTGTCCAGGTGGGGTTTGAATGTCTCCAGAGAAGGAGACTCCACCACCTCCCTGGGCAGCCTCTGCCAGGGCTCTGCCACCCTCACAGCAAAGAAGTTCCTCCTCATGTTTAGGTGGAACTTCTTATGTTCAAGTTTGTGCCCATTCCCTCTTGTCCTGTCCCGTGGCACCACTGAAAAAAGCCTGGCCCCATCCTCCTGACACCCACCCTTGAAGGATTTCTAGGTGTTGATCAGATCCCCCCTCAGCCTTCTCTTCTCCAGACTAAACAGACCCAAGTCCCTCAGCCTTTCCTCATCAGAGAGATGCTCCAGGCCCCTCATCATCTTTGTAGCCTCTGCTGTCCCCTCTCCAGCAGTTCCCTGTCCTTCTGGAACTGGGGAGCCCCGAATTGGACCCAGTGCTCCAGATGGGGCCTCCCCAGGGCAGAGCAGAGGGGCAGGATGACCTCCCTCCTCCTGCTGGTCACACGTTTCTTGATGAAGAACCACTGCACCAAGATACACCCTCGGGGCTCCAGAGTTTGCTTTGATTTAAGGGGTACAAGAGACTCTGCTGGAATTAAGCTTGTTTGGTTTTTTTTTAATTTTTATTTTAAATCCAACCCTCATCACAGCTTCCTTCCCACTTCAATGTTTGTTTGCTTTGGGGGCCCCCACGGTGGTGTACGTTGTGAAAGCCTTCTGTTTTCCTCCTTGTACACTTACACAAATCACACACACACACGCGCGCTCATATAAAGCCACTTAATCAAGCGTGAGGAACAAGGGTTTGCTCCACATCCGGGAGGAAAACAGCCTTCCCATTTTATATTTCATACCCCACAAGTAACACCAACACGGATGTAAAACAAGCCAATTCCTCGTTATATTTTACACTCGCCACAACACAAATCCTCACGCCTTAAACACAAGGGAAGGGGGGCTGTGGGGCTGGCATTCGCCCGACAGACGCCGCGATGAGCCGCACCAGAAAGGCGTATCTCAGCCCAAAATAGCGCCTGTTAAAAAGGCATCTGCTTATTGTTTGATATGTGTATTTATTTACACAGACAGCTCGCTGAGATGCCGAAAGGGCTGGGGAGGGTGGCGTAGGCCGGCATTTTTAACTCTTGGCGGGCAGTTTGTTATCCTTCGGTCCCACCACAAGCTTCCCTTTTACCCCTGAGGGGTGGCAAACAGTAGGGAGTGGGGAAGGGAATCAGAATCACAGAATGCTATGGGGTTGGAAGGGACCTCTGGAGATCATCCAGTCCAACCCCCTGCCAGAGCAGAGCCACCCAGAGCAGGTCCCACAGGAATGTGTCCAGGTAGGGTTTGAATGTCCTGTCCCTGGGCACCACTGAAAAAGCCTGGCCCCATCCTCCTGACACCCACCCTTGAAGTATTTATAGGTGTTGATCAGATCCCCCCTCAGCCTTTCCTCATCATAGAGGTGCTCCAGGCCCCTCCTCATCTTTGTAGCCCTTCATAGCCCTCTTTGTAGTGGGGTCCCCTCCACTGTGTGGGCTTGGCTCCCCTCCAGGAGCTCGCCCTCAGCAGAGAACAACAGAATCCCACAGAATTGTTAGGGGTTGGAAGGGACACAAGGCAAGGCTTCCAAGCCCACCCTCCACAGGCATTCTGCCCCCGAGGGCTTCACCCCCCAACTTCTGGGGCCTCGTGCGCCTTTGATATAGACATGAGAGGCCCTCAAAAGCGAGTCCTCGCGCGTAAAAAGAGATCTCCTTTAAACAAGAAAGAAAATTAATTAAGTGGGTAAAATCCCACAGGTTGGAACAGCAGCTGAGGAATTATCTTTCTATCAGGTCGGTAATGAGGACTGAAAAAAAACCACAACCTCACACAGACATTAATAGCTTTATAGGGGCTCATTGGCATTCCAGATCAGATGTGAGGCTTGGCATTCCCAGGAGCAGCAGATGCAGCTCCAGTTCAGACCAGACTCCGGCAAACCACACGTTGCCCGGCTGAAAACAGTATTGCCACCATGCCCGAAAACGAAAGGTGGGTACCTATCTAGCAGAGTAACTGCTTCCCACAGAAATTATGCCCAGGGAGGACTATAAGTCACAACATACAATGCCCCAGGTTGATCTGACGCACCCCCAAAACCTGTGTTTAGATCTATAGATATGTGTGTGAGAGATTTTTCAACATGCTGGAGGGAATGAGAACAGCCAGCAC